CAAACAAACAAAGCTACAACTTCTAGAGTTCCCTGAGAAGAGAGATTGATTGTTGATCCACTCTTGCTTGCTGAGGGGAATAAGAGTTTCCTAAAAACTCTCAGCACCCTTAACAAATTACAGTTCCCAGGATTCTTTGGGATTCTATGGGTGTGAAAGTGGTGTAATAGTGCTTTAAATACGTGGTGCGGATGTGCCATAATAGCAGAATTATTGTTCTCAGGATGTTTATATGCACATATCTTCTTAATTTAATTCATTACTACCTTGAGACCACTTCTGTCATATGCCTTCTCCACTTTTAACAATGCCAAAATGGCTGGTTGATTTTTTAAAAAATGGTTTTCATAAATTATATTAACCACTATTTTTATTCTTAAGACTCTCCTTTTCACAAATCCAGCCTGATCATCTTTGACGTATTTCCCCAGAAATGAATTGATTTAATCTATTTGCCAACATATTATTCATAATCTTATCAATACCTCCTCAAAACCTCCTCAGTATTGATCTTTCTCAATGCAGTCAGTGTTTAAGCTGATCCTGTTTCTTCTTTTTCTGCCCTAGCTCTGAGTTACTGCATTATCTTTGTGTAAGTGCTGACACCTAGTGGTGCTTCGGTTCTATTGGAAAAATGTTCTTTTCTTTTTAAAAAGCACAGGCTTGGTAGCTGCTACCCAGTTCCAGATTTATGTACAGTGGTACCTCAGGTTAAGTACTTAATTCGTTCTGGAGCTCCGTTCTTAACCTGAAACTGTTCTTAACCTGAAGCATCACTTTAGCTAATGGGGCCTCCTGCTGCTGCCACGCTGCCGGAGCACGATTTCTGTTCTTATCCTGAAGCAAAGTTCTTAACCTGAAGCACTATTTCTGGGTTAGCGGAGTGTGTAACCTGAAGTGTATGTAACCCGAAGTACCACTGTATAGGCCATGGGTAGGCAAACTAAGGCTTGGGGGCCGGATCCGGCCCAATCGCCTTTTAAATCCGGCCCCTGGATGGTCCGGGAATCAGCATATTTTTACATGAGTAGAATGTGCCTTTTTATTTAAAATGCATCTCTGGTTTATTTGTGGGGCCTGCCTGGTGTTTTTACATGAGTATAGAATGTGTGCTTTTATTTAAAATGCATCTCTGGGTTATTTGTGGGACATAGGAATTCGTTCATCCCCCCCCCCCCCAAATATAGTCCGGCCCCCAACAAGGTCTGAGGGACAGTGGACTGGCCCCCTGCTGAAAACGTTTGCTGACCCCTGGTATAGGCTAAGTAGGCTGAAGCCTAGGGCCTCTAAATCTAGGGGGCCTCACCAGCCTGCCCGCTCCCCAGCAGGCAACCTCCCCTCAAAATTGCAAACCCAAGATTTCATGCGAGGGCAGGGGAACTTGGGCCTCTAAATCTAGGGGGCCTCACTAGCCTGCCATCATTCTCCATGTGGTACTTCCACATCCTCCATGCGGGCAGTGGCGGAGCTTCATGCTCCAGCACCGGGGGGGAGGGGCAGAGAGCAGGCGGGGCGGGGCTGGCATGAGTCCTGGGGGCGTGGCGCGCCACCTGTGGGGGTGTGGCACCCAGCGTGGGGGGGGGGGCAGCCGCGACGGCACCTTGCCAGGATCGCGCTGCCAGGGACGGTGCGCTCCCCCCGCACTCCTCTTCCTCCGCCAGTGCATGTGGGCATGTACAGAGACACTGTTTAGAGGTGTGCGTACCTGTGCATCCCCCCCAGAAAAAAGCACTGTACACAGGTGTCTGATTATCTGTGCCTGTGGTCAGGTTATTTTATTTTGGAGGTGCACGTTTCCCAATGTACCACATATGCATGAAACAGCTGGTTAAAAAACAAAAGGCGTATGTCCCTCCTGCCCTCACCAGCAGCCCACCGAGGAGCACGTTGGCAACAGAAGTAGGGGACGTGGTGGTGGATCTCACTCAGCAAAACATCACCATGCATGAAAAAAACCACCCACACAATGCACTTCAAAGTACCCAGTAGCATGTGATTTTAAGTTGGATTTCCCCACTTTCTGCTTTATCTATGGATTGGGAAAATCCTAAATAAATGGGGGTGGCGTGTGGACTCTCACTTGGATGAAGACAATGTTGTGTGGTCAACATGCAAAACAGGCACATGTGGGATGCACTGAACCCACTAAATTTCTGTGTGTACACAACCAAAATGACCCAGATTAGGCTGCTGAAAGCTAAGAAGGAGTGGACTTTTGCATGAAGGAACTGTAAGCTCAGTTTGGTTCCGAGGCTGGAGACAAATTCCTATGCTCAGTGCTCAGAAGCACCCTGTTGTTTTAAATTCTAACTGCATGCCCTTTGCACGTGGTCTGGTTGGTAGATTGAAGTACTTTATTGTCACTTGTACACCGTGTATACAGTGAGATTACACATTGGGAGCTCAGAGCCGCAGCATATGAACGCGCCGCCATCTTGGAACGGAATCTGATCTGCTGGGGTTCTAGTAAAAAACAAAGTAGACCAGGCAAGCCTCAAGTCTGCCACCCCTGCTCTTTTATAGGTGAAATATACTTGGAGTCGAGAGTGGTTTCGTGCTCTTTATTCAGCTCTTAGTGGTGAGGAGGAATGGAAGTTCCCCCATAATGTCTGCCTTATATACATTATTTACACAATGGGCCCCACATGATTGGCTAATTCCGGGATTCTCCTGTAGGCCAATCAGGTTGCAGATTCCCTTCCACCTGGAGCTAGATTGGGTGGCTCCTGTGGACCAATCAGACTGCTGCATTCTGAATCCTATTGTTCTAGGACCAATCAGACTGCTGCATTCTGAATCCTATTCAACTCAGTACATAACAATAGGCATTCTCTATTTGAAGGGATGGCGAGTCCAAGTCCAGTTTAAAGAAACGCAAGAAGGAGCAGGGGGCTTGAAGTTGCTCATCAACTGTGCCTGGATAGCAGACTTTGCAGGCTTACAGCTCAGTCGTCCTCACTATGTTTCCATACATATAAATCACCCTCAGGGTCCCTTCCAAAGCTATGATTCTATGCAAATCTGTCATCTTTTGTGCGCTACCTTTTCGAATGATGCATTTCCTGCTTTCTATGCTGCATAAATCACCACGCTTATATAAAAACAATAGCAATCATATCAGTTCAAGGTAAACATTTCGGGTGTGTGGTTTGTTTTTTAACCAAAGGGAGTTGTGCATCTCTAGCATGTGTATTATTGTTCAATGCAATGGTTCATAGCAATAGTTACTCATTGTGTAAAACCAGTGAATTGACCAGAAACATTGGAAAAAAACACCACCTGATCTGAAATGAGGGGCTGCTTGTCCATCGCTGCCCCGGGGAATTTCATCCTTGAAGGACATCTGACATGTGTGGTTAATCAAATGTTTTGGTAAGCGGAAATGTTAGGCAATTTCTGGAAAGCTATAGCTTGTTTATTATACAGTCCATGTGAACTACAGTACAGCATGTGGATGATGAGTTATGCTCTCCTCAAGAGCTGAATTACTGGAACAAAGACTATACAAATGATTATTCCAGAAAGGGAGATCTAAGCTGTTCAGGCAGCTGATCTGTGACTGTCCAAAGCTAGCTATACGTTCTCATGAGTGTGATAAGTAAAGGATATACAAAATTAGCTGTACAAAACCAATTTTGTCTGTTCTGTTCTGCTCTGCTTTGGGCTGGGCTGTCAATTTAAATGGGCCGTGTCGAATATTAAACGTCCCCCAGGCATTTTATGAGTCATGCTGTTGGCATATGCATGATCTGGTGCTGTTATTAAAGCGTTAGTTAAAAACCACTTAACGCTTCAGAATGCTTATGATCCTTATAAGTTGACTCAGGGTAGATGAATCAGGGAGCATCTCCTTTGGTGGTTGGATGCAGTGCAAGAATGAATTCTTGCCGAGAATGGTTTCTGTAAGCAATGGGTACGCCATATATATTGATGTAAAGAATCAGGGGTATCGAACAGGGAACCATAACTGAAAGCAGCTACCAGCTCAGTGTGATGCAAAGGACCAATATGATTCTTCCTAGTCCTGTAAAGATCTTTGGGAATACAAGGGATCTGTGTGAATGGCATTGTGGCCGTTGGCTTCACACACTGACCCCAATTCTTTGTAAGGTTGAAAAGATGCCTTCTGCGATAGTTTGAGACCCATGTTGGGCAAGATTTGTGCATTGCAAGGGGTTGGACGAGATGACGTTTGTGGTCCCTTCCAACTCTACAATTCTATGATTCTATCTCAGTGTATTTGGAAATCCATTTCCCTTTCCCCTTTCAATTTCCCCAGCCTGCCATTGGTATATATTCCACTTTCTCAAATTATAAAGTAAGACTTGACTGGGGCTTAAAATTTCTCACCACCTTTGGAAGATGTCCAGCCAAAATATTTTTTCAAGTCCTACTGATTCTCAGCAGGAGGGATTTAAAAACATTCTTAAATCTACAATTGAGAACGATGTGGATTTAAAAAGTGCTGTGCTGATAGGATTGTGCCCGTACTTTCAAATGCAACGAATTTAGGCTTTACACAAGTTCTTCCTCCATCTGGAAGACTTCCACTTGGATACAGGCCCCCATCTTGTCAAAATGTATAATATCTGGAGACAAAAAAGCTTGATAGAGAAATGAAGAATAGTTGCATGTTTGTTCATCAGGTGACGGTAATTTGCATTAGTACCAGTGGTGTCCAAGCTTTTTTCAAAGAGGACCAGATTTGATGACATGAAGGGTCGTAAGGGCTGACCAAAGGGCCAACCAAAGTTGTTGACCTTTTTTTAGGGTTGTTGAGCTTTTTTTTAGGATTGAGGTTTTTTTAGGATTTATCCCAGGAAATTAACTGCCATGATGGCCAGACTAAACTGACCCAAAGGCAGGATTAGGCCCCCAAAACGGACTTTGGACATACCTGATTCTCATCCAGTCCTGGGAGTATCAGAATCTCTTAGCCTGACATTTCAGAATTCTTCCAAGAAGTCTGACCTAATAACATAGAATGAGCCATTATCAAAGCTGAGATAGCTCAGTTGGTTAACCATTAGAGTGTGGTGCTGATAACTCCAAGGTTGCAGGTTCAATCACAGCTGCATATTCCTGGGTTGGAGTAGATGATCCTCAGGGTCCCTTTCAACTCTATGATTCTATGACTCAGACAATGAAACTTCTATGACTCCTGCTAGTTTCTATAACTGAAACAGACATGAAGTTTTGTGGGAAAGTGTTGCATGTTCTCCACTACTATCAATCTTGGTGGCTTAAAGACCACCTCCCATGTAGCACAAGGGTGGTCCCCTGCCCCAAGTCATGTGAGAAGGTATTATATATGTACTGACTGATTTTAAAGAACTATTTTATGTACAGGGTTTGCAGAAGTGCCAAAGTCACAAAAATAAATTTGATTTTTATTTTTTGCTCTGGTTGGGATTACATTGATTTTTTTAAAAATAAAATGGGTCAAACAGATTTTTATAATCTCAGAGGCAGTCAGCTGTTTTGTTAGCCACACGGCTGGCATATTCACAATATGGAGCTACTCCAAATGAGTCTCTCAGCAATTCAAACATTAGTCAAGATCCATTTAATGCTGCTGATTGTTTATGATCCTTCTAGCTGGAGCCAGCTGCATCAGAGCACATCTTTTTTTGTGTGTGGTATGGGATGCAGTAGAAGAAATAACAGGAACTGTCCTACACTCATAAACTATGAAACAAACCCCACCCCCAATGATCAGCTTTGTATACTCCTATCTTCCCATAATACATTTTTAGACACTCAAGAAATTTGTAGGAATATAGCCTGGTGTTTAAAAATGTGGAAAGGGGCCTTCTGTTTCCATTCAGATAACAAGATTGGGGCTAAGGATTATATTGATTTATAATCCTCTCTTGAAAGCTATACAGTGTTACCTCGGGTTACATACGCTTCAGGTTACAGACTCTGCTAACCCAGAAATATTACCTCAGGTTAAGAACTTTGCTTCAGGATGAGAACAGAAATCGTGCTCCCGCGGCACGGCAGCAGCAGGAGACCCCATTAGCTAAAGTGGTGCTTCAGGTTAAGAACAGTTTCAGGTTAAGAACGGACCTCCAGAACGAATTAAGTACTTAACCCGAGGTACCACTGTATGTAGAAAGAGATGTAAGGGGCACGACTTATCTCAAAACATGTTCTACTTCCTGGTATAGAATAATGAAAGTATGAAGGGATGTTGGCTTGGTGGCCCTCTAGCGTTTTTCAAGCTTGGGTCCCCAGATTGTGTTGGACTACAACTCCCATCATCCCACCATTGGCCATGATTGCTGTGGATGATGGGAGTTGCAGTTCAACCCCCAAGGTTGAAGAAAACTTTTGGAAGAGTCTCAGCTCAGTCCAGGATGCAACTACAACATCCTACAGAGTGGTGCATCTGACAAACGTGTTTGAGTCCTCAAACGCTTATGGCACAATAAATTTATTTTAGGCGTGGCAAGGCTCTGATTCAAATCCCACTCGGCCACAAAGCCCTCTAGTACTGCAATTCTAATCACGCCTACTCTGAAATAAGCTCAACAAGTGTACATTGTGTATAGGTTTGCAGCTTTAGAGCCAAATCGCTGTTTCTCAAGACTAACGAACTTCACTGGGCTGTTGTCAGGATAAAATGCTGGTGTTGGGATCATGTATGCTACCTGGAGCTCTTTAGATATAAAGTAATAAGCGAATATGGGACGCGGGTGGTACTGTGGGTTAAACCACAGAACCTAGGACTTGCCGATCAGTCGGTCATGACTGGACCTAATGGTCAGGGGTCCTTTTACCCTTTACCTTTACCTTAATAAATGAATGTTGCTGGGGGTGACCTAAAATTCAGAGATATTAAGTAAGAATATTTGCTCACATTAAGAAAATCACAAAATCCTGAGTGCCTTTTGATTATTACAAATTAGGAGAGAGTTGATTTTCTCTTCTTGTAATAGTGGTTAAAAAAGGTAGCTAAATAGAAAAATAGACAACTTACTGTCAAATAATGATACAATAAGCTCTGGGAAACATTATCCATGGATGAGTTTTTTTTAAATCAACTGACAGCCAATCCAATATTCAATGATGATTTATATTAAAAAAAATGTTGCTGGTATCTAAATGGCTTATTGATGATGCAAAATGCCACACAGATGTTATTGATTTCAAGACGTGTATTTGTTACTGGGGTTTTAAAAATATGTGTACTCAAACAGGTATTTTTGTGCTGTTTGCTCTTATGCATTATTGATCCACCTTCCCCTGATGTTTGTTTATTGCTTTATATACTGTTATTTCAAAGTCGGTCTCACGTCAGCTTTCAGAAAAAGACTGTAGTTGAAAATGTAAAGACATTTCAAAAGAAAGTTGCACAAAGGTTCATACATATATCTATCAGATTTATTAATTTCTTACATTTGTAGTCTTCTACAAATGGTGCTTGGAGAAATATACAAATTAATAGCACAATAAAATATTGAATAATTAAAAATCAATATAACGCAAATTTTATAAAAGGCCCCCCTGCCACCTTGCTCCTTCTTTGGTTGCATAAGCTAAAGGGGCTTTGCAAACTTCTGGTTCAGTTGCATACATCTAAAATGCATTTTTCTTCTTATTGCACTGCACTCCCGAGAGCCATATGCCATTGTCCTTCCCCTCCACCCCCCAAAAAAAATATTCATTTGCCATCCTGACCTGATATTATGCAGGCACAGCATCATTAAAAAAGCAGAATCCATTCCCCTTGCTGTTCACTTGCTACAATGTCAGCGTTGCAAGCCAGGCTGAGGACAATTCCCAAAGCAAGTCAGCAAGAAGCCATTTCTCCTGCGTGAAATGCTTCTGCTCTGACGTAAAACATAAAATAAGACTGCAACCCCCCGAGGCCAGGATTAAATTTAAAAATAACTCTGGGTGTCTGAAAACTCCTTCCGTGCCCTATTTCTCATTTCGGTTTTCCAGTTTATACCGGGCATGACTCAGTATCGTCTGATGCATGCATAATGCATGTTTTCAGGAGCTCAATTTCAGGAGGCAATTTGTAAATTGCCACATATATATTCATTTATGGTCTTTAAATGAACCTGGATGGTCGTACCTGCATGCAGGAGGGTTGGCAAATATAGAATACAGGAGAAATAAATTCTGAGTCCAATTGTGTTTTGCTGACATACCAGCACGGAGTGGTATTTTATACTTCTCATCCCATGGTGATGAAGGTCATATCACAGATTTGAAACTTCTATTTGCTTCTATCTTACATAAACTGTTGATGATGTCTCCTGCTATTTTTAAAAGTTTTGACCTCAACTGCTTTGGATTTGGGGACATATGTGGCTCTTAGCTGTAAGTGTAGAACATCATTGTTTTGAGCCAAGGCCCACCTTGCCTTTTATATATTTTAGTTCTCTGCATGAGTCAGATAAACAGATTTGGAAAGGTTTACAATTGGCACATCCAAGAGAGTTTGGATTTGATATCCCGCTTTATCACTACCCGAAGGAGTCTCAAAGCAGCTAACATTCTCCTTTCCCTTCCTCCCCCACAACAAACACTCTGTGAGGTGAGTGGGGCTGAGAGACTTCAGAGAAGTGTGACTAGCCCAAGGTCACCCAGCAGCTGCATGTGGAGGAGCGGAGACGTGAACCCGGTTCCCCAGATTACGAGTCTACCGCTCTTAACCACTACACCACACTGGTTGGCGGCATCTCCCTGTTGACCTAGCCCTGACCTAGCCACTGTGATCCACGCGATGGTCATCTCCAGGCTTGATTATTGTAACTCACTCTACGTGGGGCTGCCCTTGAGACTGACCCAGAAACTCCAGCGGGTGCAGAATGCCGCAGCAAGACTCCTTGTGGGGTCCTCACCACGGGATCACATTCACCCAGTGCTATACCAGCTGCACTGGCTCCCGGTGGAGTACAGGATCAGGCTGGCTTTAACCTTTAAAGCCCTTTGTGGCCTAGGATCCCTGTACCTACTGGACCGCATCTCCTGGTATGTCGCACGGAGGACCTTACGGTCTTCAAACAAAAACATCTTGGAGATCCTGGGCCACAGGGAGGTTAGGCTGGCCTCAACCAGAGCCAAGGCTTTTTCGGCCGTGGCCCCGATCTGGTGGAACGCTCTATCACAAGAGACTAGGGCCCTGCGGGACTTGACATCTTTCCGCAGGGCCTTTAAGACAGAGCTGTTCCTCCAAGGCACAGTCTGACCCCCCTCTCTCCTTCTGTAATCCTCATAGAACTCTAGCCCAATGGTTGCCATTAATTGGATTCTGAATTGATTTTAGAATGTATTTCAATTAATTGACTGGGATTTTATGTAAACTGTGCTATTTTTACTGTTGTTAGCCACTCTGAGCCCGGCTTTGGCTAGGGAGGGCGGGATATAAATAATTTATTATTATTATTGTTAAGTTCATGCTGAGTGGCAAACCTAGGTTTCCTGCCTCATAAGGGGGTTGTTCACAGGAGCTGCCTCTACAAGTGTACAGAAGGAGAGCTTCTCTGCAAGTGTGATCCCACACCTCACACCTGCACAGCTCAGCTCAGCTGCTTTGAGTCGGAGAGCAATGCTTCCAGACAGGCCAAAGCACATTTCTTTTTACAAATAGAGACATTTTTAGAAAATGAGTGGAAATGTAGCAAGTTATTTTGAAAGCAGGAGACGGTTGGTTTAGATGTGTGGGTGAAATTGATCTTCCCTGTATTTTAAATACACTTGGGTGTGTACACAGCATGTGTCAGTATGTTTCCGAGCACAATTCAAAGTGTCGAATTTAAAGCCCTAAATGGCCTCGGCCCAGTATACCTGAAGGAACATCTCCACCCCCATTGTTCAGCCCAGACACTTCTGGCGGTTCCCTCCCTAAGAGAAGAGAGGTTACAGGGAACCAGGCAGAGGGCCTCCTCGGTGGTGGCACCCGCCCTATGGAATGCCCTCCCATCAGATGTAAAGGAAATAAACAACCATCTGACTTTTAGAAGACATCTGAAGGCAGACCTGTTTAGGGAAGGTTTTAATGTATGATGATTTATTGTGGTTTTAATATTCTGTTGGGAGCCGCCCAGAGTGGCTGGGGAAACCCAGCCAGATGGGCGGGGTATAAATATATTATTATTATTATTATTATTATTATTATTATTATTATTATTATTGCTGTTGTTAGATACTTGGGTGTCAGAAGCCCTTGCTGATCTATGGCAGATCACCCACTCAGAGATCCTCATCTAATTTTTTCTTACCATTTCTCTAAGCTTATCATAATACCAGGGTGGGGTGATGGTGGAATGGAGAAAAACCAACAGAGTGGGGACACAGAGAGCTCCATGGGCCAAGCTTCTAATCCGAGGGAATGATGTTACCTGGAAAACAAATTCCTTTCAGCTCTCTCCCCCTACCCCCGCCAAATCAACTTTAACAGTGCCTAGCACAAAAGCCCCTGGACCTATTTGACTGCAATTTGGCTGGTTTCTAACCTAGGAGTACCTCTTGTGCCTGCCAATATGGATTTCTTTCATATTTGATCTATAAAATCCTGAATAATGAAACATTGATAGAATGGGTCTTTTTGTGTGTGTGTTTCAGATGCAAGCTGTGAATTTTATTGCTAGCCTTTCTGGAATTTGATAGTGGTTTTCTAATGATATACATTACTGGTAGCACTACCTTTACAGTCTTCCCCAAAGAAACCAAGAAGAAATAGATGTGTATCAGGTGTGCCAACCCTAGGGGGCCGAGATGCCTTTGGGCCCCCTTGATATTTGTTGCAATACTTGGGGGGGGGGGGCTTTTGTGCGTTGCATGCAAGCAACATCACTTTTTGCCAAAGTGAAGCTCCGTGCTTAATTTTCTCCTGCTAAAATCAATTACACTTAAATGTGCTTAGCTTGGGTTGAATTATGCCATTTTAGTAAACTTTCTGGGCTGCCTTTCTTTGGTGTCCTGTGCCTGGCAAAGTAACAGATTAATAAGTGGCTAGGCTGGTCCAGCTACCTCCTGGCTGCCTTGTGCAAAGTAAAAAATAAATAAATCCTGACATCGTGCTACCCTACAGAATTTGTGTGTCGCTCAGTGCAAAGCTTAGGCAACTGCTGTATTCAAATTTAGGAGAAACTGGGCCTTTAAAAGAACATTTTTGTAGCCCCCAACTTGAGGACCGGCATCATTGCAACAAATTAACCCAATGGCTTTGTACGGCTTTGTTTCACCTTAACATGGGGGGAAAGTTGAGCTGCTTTCTGATACTGAGCTACAGAGTTTTCGGGGAACAGAGCTCTCACCCAATCCCTGCCCTCACTGCAGTCCAGTATGTAGCTTAACACAGCGTTGGACACATCTACAGGGCCATTTTTTGCTTCTGCTGAAATTGAATGGAGCTGAATAAGAGACGGCAAACACCCTAGAATTAGCCATCATGCTCATGCTCAGCTGATGCCACAGATGGCCTTTCGAGCTTTGAACCACACCACTGATTGCTTAATGGAAATGGAGCAATAGATTAACATGAACAAACCTTATGTAAAGCTAAGCTAAATATTGACCGCATGTTGTGGATAACTGAAAGAAATTGGTGGAGTGGTTTAGACATCTAAGGAGAGCCAGATAGTTCTGGAAGTGGACATATAATGCATAAGCCCAGTATTTCCCTCCCGTATAATGCATAAACCCAGTATTTCCCTCCCGTACAAGGCATAAACCCAGTATTTCCCTCCCGTACAAGGCATAAACCCAGTATTTCCCTCCCGTATAAGGCATAAACCCAGTATTTCCCTCCCTCCACCCCACATTAAACTTGTCAGAAGTTCTGTGTGTTTGATTTTATGTCTAGTATCTTCTGATTTTATATGAAATAGTTGCCAACTGCTGTAAATCCTTGGGGCAGGATGGTCTATAAATAAAACTAAGATTGCAATCTTAGGCATAATTACCAGGAAGTAAGTCATGCTGATCCTTACTTCTGTATATAGCAAGTACATATTTCCCAATATAGGACGATGCTTTAATGCTTCTACAGTGGTGCCTTGGTTTTAGAACAGCTTATTTTATGAACAACTTGGAAATAGAACACTGCAAACCCGGTTTGTGAACTTTGCCTTGGAAGCAGAAGGTGTTCCTGTTGAAGGTGTTCCATTTGTAATTTGAGTTTCCTGCTCTAATCAGAGGCTTCCTGTTGAGTCTGTCGGCTGTTGAGTCCTGAGCACCCATGCACCACAGAGGTGATATTTGGAGCTTTTGTTTTTGCATTTTGGTTTGTGTGGCTTTTTTGTTTTTGTTTTGACTGTGACTTGTTCGTTTTATGGGACTGACTTGTCACTGTGGCTTGTGACTTTGTTTTTGTGACTGTGTGGAACCCAAAGCCCCCCATCCAAACAATGACTATCATCAGTGCATGTAAGAATTTTTTTTAAATTTTTTTTTTATCATCTACAATACTGTCTTATTTATTTTATAGTACAGTACAGTACATTATTGCTTTCATTTTATGGATCAATGGTCTCGTTAGATAGTTAAATTCATGTTAAATTTTAGGGAATGTTTTTAAAAGCCTGGAACAGATTAATCCATTTTGCATTACTTTCTATGGGAAAACATGCCTTGGTTTTAGAACGCTTTGGTTTTGGAACAGAATTAAGTTTGGTTATGTTATTAATAACTTTTTTCTGTTAGAAGATAGCAAAGTGAGTGAAAAGAGAAACAAACCAGAAGCGGAAGTTGGGGGAAGCCCTGGAGGGGAGGGGAGGGAGGGAGGAATATATAGTGAATGTTAAGAAATTGAGATGTATGTAATGAATGAAAAAGAAAAATGAATAATAAAAAAAAGTTTGGGAACCTAGGTACCACTGTAATGGAAAACTGTAATGGACAATCACTTTTGGTTTGTCTGACTGGCTTATTTTTGTTTTTGTCCTCAGTGATATAAAAAGGAGGACTAAAGGTTAGACATTGTCACCCCCATGCTGTTAACCCAAACTCACCTACTTCCATTCTTTTGGCTTTCGTGTGACTCACAAATGTATAAAAAGTGAGAGATAGAAGAGAAAATCTAGAAATGTTGCCATGACCTTTCACTGGCAGGGCATCCAAAGAAGCGTATGCTTCCGAATACAAGTTGCTAGGAATTGCAGGCAGGCAGAGTGATGTTGTGCTCATGTCTTGCTTCCAGGCTTCCCACAGGCATCTGGTTGTAAGAACAGGGTGCTGGACCAGATGAGCTATTCAGCAGTCTCTCTATATGCTCTTAAGCGCTGCCAGAATTGGGTACATTTTACTCATTCGGACATGCAATTGGCAGTATAGTGAAGAACAAAGCATCTGCCCTGCTCCACCGCTAGCAAGATTTGCTCAGTCCGGCAGGAGGATAAATACCTCTGGAAGCTTACAAGAACAGCATGGAGGGAGTGGTCTTTCTGTGGTTGTTTATTCTCAACATCCCTCACGCACATTTATAGCACTTAGTAACAGTAATGGCTTCCCGCAAAGAATGCTGGGAACTGTAGATCACCCCCCACAATTATCAGCAGACTTAACGAACTTCAGCTCCTAGGATTCTTTGGGGACCCCATGTGCTTTAAATGTACGGTGTGCGGAGGCCAGTCTGTTGCAGCGGAAATAACAAAAGAACCTCGTAGTTGCTTGAAGATCAACAAAGTTCCACAACATAAAATTTGTGGGCTAGAATCCATTTCTGTCCCAATAAAAGGACAGAAGGTGCTACAAGATTTTAAACTGAGAGAGGTACATGCCGAGATTTGTTGGTTATTATTATTTAATATTTATAAATGTAGATCCATGGTTAAGAACTTATTGATGGTCCAATCCTCCATGAATATTTTAAAACCTTTTACATTGCCATCTCAAGTAATGGCCATAACTATGTCTCTTGATGCACTGCCCAAATGATCATAAACTCCAAAAAGCACATGTGAATTTATCTTAAGGCAAGAGGAGAAGGAGCCTGCTGAGTCCAAGGCTACTGTAACCACCAGCTGGAATGCTGGACCAGCCTTTAGATACTTAGCCTGAGGCTGGAGGTCTGAAGCTTGCAGAGCCCTCATAGATGCCATCCCCTGTCGTCCCAAACCTCTCACCTCTTTTGCAGCTCCTGGTGGCAACCAACTCCCCAGTCTGTGGCCTCCTGACTGCCTTTGTGCCCCATTATTGGTTGGTGTATATAAAAATGTTAAACCACGCTGTCATCCAGCCATGATACTGGGAAAGGAAGAAGCCAGTCAATCACTAGTGTTTGTCATGTGATTGGCAGAAGTCCAGACAGTGGAATCAACTTCATCACTCTTCTTTCTAGAATGGAAGAGATGAGCAATCCTGTTGAAACAAGTTGCACACAATCCATAGGCACTGACTCTGCCCTCAGCCCTCCCCTAAGTATATTGTAAGCCATCACCTCAAGATGGCTTACAATATAACACACTTCCTCTATCAACTTCTCTTACTTTCTCTCTCAACTTTTGGTAGTCTTCCAGACATTCTCACTCCCAAAGAGGGGGTGGGGGAGATCAAAATGGAGGAGGAATGCAGCAGCCTCATGGGTGCCATTGTGCATTTGAGCACCATGCGGAGGACATCAGTTTTGCATTATGTGTAGCTTTCCCAACTTTTCAAAAAACCCAAACACTAGGCCCTGGTGCTGTGCCATTAGCAGTGTGGTCATCTGCAGGAATTAAGCGCTTCTGGGTTTGGGTATGTGGTGGGATTTGGGGAAAGCTACTAAATATTTTCATGTCAGAATGATATCGAAGGCAAAGAAGTGAGTCAGGATGAGGTGGAGTAGCAAGCAATCCCAGGCAAGCTGCACTGTTATTCTGCCTGAGATAGACTCACATCAATACTCCATTAAAAAAATTAAATTCCTTCCAGTAGCACCTTAGAGACCAACTAAGTTTGTTATTGGTATGAGCTTTCGTGTGCATGCACACGAAAGCTCATACCAATAACAAACTTAGTTGGTCTCTAAGGTGCTACTGGAAGGAATTTTTAAATTTTGTTTCAACTACGGTAGACCAACATGGTTACCTGTATCAATACTCCACTTTGTGGTATCATCACATGAACATTAAAGGTAAAGGGGCCCCTGACCATTAGGTCCAGTCGTGACCGACTCTGGGGTTGTGGTGCTCATCTCGCTCTATAGGCTGAGGGAGTCGGCGTTTGCCCGCAGACAGCTTCCGGGTCATGTGGCCAGCATGACTAAGCTGCTTCTGGTGAACCAGAGCAGCGCACGGAAACGCCGTTTACCTTCCCGCTGGAGCAGTACCTATTTATCTGCTTGCACTTCATGCTTTCAAACTGCTAGATTGGCAGGAGCAGGGACCAAGCAATAGGAGCTCACCCCATCACAGGGATTCGAACCGCTGACCTTCTGATCAGCAAGTCCTAGGCTCTGTGGCTTAACCCACAGCGCCACCTGCGTTAAATGGCTCACATGAACATTAGTACACCTTAAATGGAATCTTGGATGATTTTATACTCTACACCAGGGTTTCCCAAACTTGAGTCTCCTGCTGTTTTTTGATTGCAGTTCCCATCATCCCTGACCACTGGTCCTGATAGCTAGGAATGATGGGAGTTGTAGTCCAAAAACAGCTGGAGACTCAAGTTTGGGAAGCCCTGCTCTACACATTGACATATTGGAATAATTTTTATAATCATTTGGATGAATACTTGGTCTCTCTTCAGTCTTTGGTTATTTGCATGAAAATACTCCTCCCTCTTAAAAATAAACCAGCAGTTCTGAGTGTACACAGAAGTTTCCTTAGGGAACTCGATATATAGTACCTTACTATACTGTAAAAAACTGCCTAGGCCAGCGCTTAACTCTTCTATAGGAAAAAGAAAGAAACAAATCTCACTGGACTTCAGGTTGATGCTCCTATTCTCATGTGAGCCAATTAAATAATGATCATTGGACAAAACGGAATCTTGCTATGTAGCAGCTTACCACCTATGGGGCTTGTAATATTATACTGGATAGGTTTTGGAGAGCATAATAAATCTGAAAGCAGCAGTTGCCTTAGCAACTGTCTGTAATGGAGAGCTGTTGTGAACTATTTTTTTTTTTTTTTAAGAATTCTTCTAACTTTTCAGAAATGAAGCTCTTGCTTTCAATTAATACAGCTACAGCAGGGTCCTGTGCTGGTTTCCCCCCTTCCTTCTCTTTCTTTCCTTCATTCAGATCATTGATTGTTTTGTGTGGTTTTGCTAACAGGGGACTGGAAAGAATCCAACACGATATAAGAGGGAAGCTATTACAGAAGGCTTAAGGCCTTCTATGAATAAAGCATCTATAAAAACTACCGTACTTGCTGTAGGCTTAACAGGGGTTTATTCTTCCATGAACAGCTCCTAGAATTTGTCGTGACTGATATTAGCAATGTATACATGAAATATGTGTTGGGTCTAGTAAGTATGGCTCACAATCAAGCATGGTGCTAAGGAAGCCCATTGACTTAACAAGTTGCAACACAATTAACACACCATACATGGTCTTCTTCTTTTTTTTAAAATAATTTTTATTAACAGGCCAATCACATCACATTATCCAAATCACATTAGTTCCAAATTATACAGCCAAATTTTAAATTTTGTTGGGGGTACCCATACATCAAGCTCCGAACGGGTCCAAACATCACTTATATTGCTGCTTTAATTAAACAGTTCTATCCAGTTCAATCCAGATAGTCCTTTATTACTTTCTTCATCTTCTTGTTGTTATCATATATTCCTTTCTTTGCGATCTCTGATAATCTTCACAAGTGGATTAGAGACAGACATCCTCTGTGTGGGTTTTGCACTCTCCAAAGATCATATCACTTAGGGACAGCCGCCATTCCACGTTTCCATAAAAATTTTATCTTCGGTCAGTCCTTTAATTTTCTCAGGCTTGCCAAGTATATCAGGAGGGCTCTGTCAGGTTAAGATCACATTCCAATCATCATTCACATTCCAATGGTCCTGATTCTCCTCCCCCTGTCTTTCTTTCTCAGGCAAGCCTGTCTTAGCGAGACGCCATTTTAAGCTGCGTCATAAAATTTTCCTCTGTTCTCGTTGTTTACCAATCATCTCTTTAACTATAATCCACTCCACACAGTTCTTGAATTCCTGCTTGTGATTAATAAAACACAACGATCTTCTTTCTGGGGTGGAGGGTTATTAATATCACATAAGGCAAAGAAAATAAAAGTTTTTTCCTCCACCCCCCTTCTTTTTCATTCCAAACATACCAGTCTCTTAATGGTGGTTCATCACTTGATTTATTTATCCATCTGTCACTCCGGTCACAGAGATCCATTAATCAGCAGTCTTATCTCCCAAACGTTGCTTGATGTATGTGCTTTAGCTTCTTTCCAATTATATGTTTCCAATTATAATTCCGAGCTAAAGCAAAGCAGCACGCGCTGATTGGAACCGGCGTCAGGAAGAGCCGACCTCATCGAGGGCTCATGCCAAGTGACTGGCACCCCCTTCTCTCGAATCCGGGGGTGCGTTGCGGACACCGCTGGCAAGGCAGCCCCCCCATCTCCTTGGGGGGGGGGTAGGAAGACTGCATACATCCCATAGCAGCCTCTTAATTACCTCGTATGGGTCGGAGAGATGTTATTGTCGGCCATCTTCCAATGCGCCACCAGGTGGCCCCCATACATGGTCTTCTACATATAGTTCCATAGTTTTAATTTTATTGTTAAGTATACAAGTGCAATGTGGTGGTGACAGTCTGAGACAAGAAACTGTTATTAGGTCTGCCACTAACACAGCTTCCTAAATAGTTGGTTAAAATAAACATTATTAAGTAGAAACCACATGTACGGAAAGCCAGGTCTCCTGCGTCACCTCCTGAGAAATTTGTGCTCCTAATGCTTTTAAACAATTAATCTACAGCCTAAAAAGAAGAGGGAAGAGAGCTAGAAATACGAGCACTTGTTTTGCTAGACTGTTTTGGAGTGCATGGGTATCATTTTAGGATTTTCTTCTAAACATCTTCCACTTCTTTTAAAATGCATGGAGAGTTCCGTTGCAAATGTATTTCATTGTTGTTATTGTGGTGGTGATGTATGAACTGAAACTTGCTAGACAGGGTAGTTTGGCTGGGCATTGCAAACCAAAGAACCTGCTACTCTGGCGGGTTGCTAATGTAAGCATAACACTGGCATAGTTTATGTAGGATCTGATAATCTATGACATTTGTGCAGAGCAGAAGGACAGTGTTATTGGCTTCTCCATTGTGTTCAGTGGGGTATGTGTTTCTACCTGAAGGAGCGTCTCCACCCCCATCGTTCTGCCCGGACGCTGAGGTCCAGCGCCGAGGGCCTTCTGGCGGTTCCCTCATTGCGAGAAGCAAAGCTACAGGGAACCAGGCAGAGGGCCTTCTCGGTAGTGGCGCCCGCCCTGTGGAACGCCCTCCCATCAGATGTCAAAGCGATAAATAACTACCTGACATTTAGAAGGCATCTTAAGGCAGCCCTGTTTAGGGAAGCTTTTAATCTGTGATATTTTACTGTATTTTTTGTTTCTATGGAAGCCGCCCAGAGTGGCTGGGGAAACCCAGCCAGATGGGCGGGGTACAAATAATAAATTATTATTATTATTATTATTATTATTACTTATGCAACCCACTTTTACTGGAATAATGTGCCATCATAAGATTCCACCTCTTGGGGGGTCTCAAGGAGTTTAGTATTTTGATGTTGCTGCTCTTCCCTCTATAGCACCTGTTTTCAAATCCCTCTTTCAAGTCGTGGGATTACTCTACTGACGCACCAGCCATAGGATCCCCAATGCCAGCATATATTCTAGAACCTAGATCCAACAGTTCGGAGGCTTAGTTGAATACCTAAGGCTCTCCAGGCAAACTGAGAAACAGGATTGTGCTGTTTCTGTATCAATTTAGAGCTGCACTGAAAATTTCAAAAATGTTTTCTTTTTGACCATTTGTTGGGTGAGTAGGAGCAAGATAAAGCAGTTGGAAAACTTAAGGGGCAAAACTCTCTGATGTTTTTTGCAAGGGAAGCTGCTTTTTTTTACATAATTTATAAGGTGATCAAGGACTATCAATTTTTAACTCTCTCTTTTTTAAAACGTAAAAATGAAGCATCTCCCTTGACCACGTCACTTTCATTGCTGCAGGGCTTTCTCCCTGCTTCCCACTGTAATAAACAAAAATCTGCCCTTATTCCCTTATGGGGAACACAAGAGCCCTTATAGAGTCCTTTGTAGGTTCTCCATCGGTCGGAGAAAATAACAGAGGCCAACCAGAGAATATTGAGAAGCAAAGCAGCTAGTAAGCCTGATCTTTTTTGAACTGTTGCAACAGGGTGCCCCCTTCACATGCAGGAGAAGGAGGAGGACCCTGAACAAAGGTGTGCCCACCCTTATATAGACATTTTAAATTGCCTGCCCTGGAGTCCAAGACCACCCCCAGAAACATCATACATACATCACAGAAGGGGTGTAGTTCAAAACCACCCCCCAGATACATCATACCTACATCACAGAAAGGGCAGTCTACAACAGAAATCTGAGTGCGTTGTTTATCTCCTGTCTGGCAGACCTGTTAATGGTCACTTGATTGGATATCCTGGGGAGCCTGGCCAGTCTTTTGTAATGACAAATACTTAGTTCCTGAGCCAGGTCACAGGCTCACCCTATTCATACACAGACATACCCTTAAGACAGGATTTGTGAAGGAGGAGACAATGGGGAGGCTTTTCCATTTTCCTTCGACCTTGCAGAGAAATGTTTGAGGTCAATTTGGGAGAGACAAAATTGTTTCAGGACTTTCTGTGAGGTTTCAGACATGTGGTTTATATATTGATGTATGTGCTTGGTTGGTGCATTTATGTGTGTGTATGTGTGTGTGTGTGTGTGTGTGTGTGTGTGTGTGTATATATATATATATATATATATATATATATATAGTTGTTGTTGTTTAGTCGTTTAGTCGTGTCCGACTCTTCGTGACCCCATGGACCAGA